GACACTACAATCACTTGCCTGTGTGTCCTCTGCCACCACTGAGTCCCCATTAGCCCTCATCCTAATGCCTTCAGCCTCCCAAACTCTTAATCGCCAGAAAGAATTTCAATGAAACCAAAATCTGATGTTGGTGTTCTAACTAAAAAGCCTCCAAGTCTCCATGGCTCCCCCTTGCCAACACAACACCGTGAGGATGTGGCCTGGCCTTTAAGGCCCTGCACATGATGAGCCTAACAGTGATTCCCAAACACATCCCACATGGTCACACTTCTGTTGGTGCACAGTAGAAGAACAAGCCAGATGTTCACTTACTTCCAAGTCTTCCCATCTTGCCACTTGCTCACTGATTTGGGCCTGTTCCTCTCACTAACACTGCCTAAGAAAGAAGTCTGGGATTTTCAGAACCTAACCTTCCCTTCCCTATATTCTCCTCATCCCACCACTCCCTCAAACATGTCCCCCCTCCTCTCATCCCCACATCCCCATGTTTAGTTGATGTCTCAACTTTGATCATGAGGATTTCTGCAAGAGCCTGCTAACCTGTGTTTCCCTCCTAAGCTTACCAACTTTCTCAAGCCCCAAGTGACGCAAACATTTCTAAATCCTAAAACCACTGTCCATGGAAGCAGAGTAAAGGATGCCACAACTTGCCTATCCCACACATTTTCCCTTATTACCAGCAAAAAGCAGTGTGGTAAGAAATGGAAAATCACTGTAGAAGCAGAGGTGAGAGCTGTATACCTCTTCTTTAGCAAACGGGTATGGATGACTAATCTAAACTTCATACATTAAAAGTCTAGTTACTGGAAACATTTTAGCCAAAAAATATCCCTGGCATACATACACATTACTCTATACTGCAGGGTTAACAACCAACCAAATCATGTTAAGCTAATAATGAGAAAGCCAAGTTGACAGCAATTGATAATTAAGCATCTAGATTCCCAGCCATTACAAACTGTCACAAATTCATGACCTCGCTGACACTACCCTGATAGCATGCTATTTCCAAGATCTGCAGAAACTCCAAGCAGAGTGTTCATGCTAAGAGGGACCAGAGACCCAACAGTGCTAAGCACAGCAAGGTCCTGGCCTCCCAGAGGAACACAGAATAGAGTCATCCAGAAACTCCAGCAGGGCACTAACAACACCAATCACATTTCGGTAACTTCACATCTTTATGATTACTGGTAGCTAGCTGCAGTCATGTCTTGTACTTGGGAGCCCAGAATTTTGAGTCTTATATCCACAAGAACTGATAAAAAGACTGACAGAAAAATCAGAATAGGATCACCACCCTTCAGGAGGTCTTAAGGAGTACCGTTCATGTCTACAGAATCCTGATTCTAAAAGACAAATCTGATCTAGCAACTCACTAGCATAAAATTCTACAGTGGCGTTCCTCTGCCTGTGGAATAAAAACCAAAACCCCTGTTCAACCTGGTCCCCAAAGAAGGTCCTGCACAATCTGGCTCTAGCCCATAGTTTAGTGCTTACTACCCTCCCCCCATGGCTCCCGCCACATGCCCTACCACCCTCCTCACAGTTTTCTGGGCATGCCATGCTCTGGCTAACCTCCCTGGCCACCTATGTACACAGCTGTCTGAAATGCCCACATGCACTTCTTTCCCAACCCCTCCCACTTGACAAACTCTTTGCTAAGACCCATCTCAAAGGTCACATGACTTTCTACTCCCCAAGATGAATGAGGGGTCCACATCTGTGCTTCCATGCATCTGGCAGAATCTGGACCACCCTGTTTATCACACAATTAAGAATATAAGATCACTGTCTGATATTTTCATTACAATCTTTACTGTAACTCATTAGGAAGCACAAATTAGAACCTAAAACATTTCAAATTCAAGATAGTAGAAAAGTTATCTTAATTTGAGGTAATGGTAAAACAAAAATCCAGCTGGAATTCAGTTTTCCCATTAATTACTTTGAATAGAAGGCCTGGAGAGGGAGGGAGTGTCATTAACCAAGTTCATGCATGAGATGTGTGCTTATGTATGCACACCTCCTCAAACACACAAGAGGAAAGCTCAAAGCAAAGATGACACGCAGGCTTTAGAATACAAGGAATGTGTTAAAAACAAAAGCTGTACACTAATTTTTAAGCTTTGTTTCTTTTTCCCTTTCCTCTGTAGAATAACAGTCTTTTCTACTAGCAGCCTAAAATCAAATTTCTTTCATGATTTCTTGAGCTAAGATGTTGGACATTTTTATATGAAAATATTTAGGTGAGGGACTACTTGGGGAGTAGCAGAAGGCATTATAATTTGATTACACATTTGTTATTAATTTATTGAAGTTCCAAATGAAATTTCATCCCACCTGAGTTCTAGGAGTTGATATTCTGGGATTTAAAGGAATAATTCACTCCCTATTCTACTTCCCAAAACACAATATCCATTCTAAGTATATCTCTGAGAGCCTGATGGCTATTTATTGCATTTGGAAAATCAAAGTCATTGCAATCTTCCAAGGAAGTCAAGAGTGAAGGGAAATTGTCTCAGAAGCTATAACAATATGAAGCCAACAGAGCTGTGGAGTACACAGGTAGGCTGGGGCCAGATCATGCAGTCCTCTTCACAGGCCATGCAGGGCATATGGGCTTCACCCAAGTGCAGTAGGAGGTCACTGACAGGTTTTGAGTAGACCATGCGGAGTGAAATCATATATCAAGTATTTTTAATGATTAACTAGGCTACCACCAATTCAAAGGCCTTGGTGATAACCCAGGTAAATGATGATGCTGGCTTGGAGGTGGGAGGGCAGTGGATGGATTCAAGATCCACTTTGGAAGAAGCATTGTTAGAACTTGATGATTTGAAGGAAGAGAAAGGTGAATATTAACATTTAACTCCCAGGTTAGAGCCTGAAAAGTGAATTAACAACTGTATACCTTAATGAGATGGAGGGGAAGAAGTAGGTCCAGAAAGGGGCTAATGATAGAAGATGAGCAAGAGTCAAAACTTAAGACACAGTAAGCTTGAGGTGCCCAAGTGAAAGCCATGTTTGCTTACTGCTATAAAAGGAATAAAAAGTACTGCACAACACAGAGGAGTCAGGTGGAATGACGGGCACCTGGTCCTCACTGGGGACTCTCATGGTGCTTGAATGTCCTACCGTTGTGCCAACTCAAGTTGGGGTATGGCCACAGAAGGAGCTTATGGCACCAAATTCAGTCAGGACATACACAGTCGCTTTTACTATGATCCTTAGTAACAAAATACCAGCCTTGGGATTAAGAACACAGTTAAATGGTATTTTCATCTGGAAGTGTGTGGCCAGACACACTTTCTTTAAGACTTAAGTTTTAGGTTTGCTAATTTTTTCTTTTTTTTCTTTCAATACTGGGGATTGAGCCCAGGGTCATTCTGGCTGGACTCAAATTTAGATCCTCCCACCTCAGCCTCCTGAGTCACTGGGACTATAGGCCTGCATAACCTTTCCTGGCTAAGATTTCCCAGTTTCCTGATGCTGATATTTAAGGATTCCCAGTAAAAGGGAATATCAGTATTTGGTCTTGGTCCCTGACACTTATACACTTGGGAGTACCATACTATCTAGGGGATTCCAGGATAGAGTATCCCATAGGAAATGTTAATCCAAGGTGGTAGTACAAGAAAACCTCTCAACAAAAATGGTCACAGAGGATGGCCTGTTTTACATGCAATGGTTTACCCAAATCATGCCCCACTCTTCAGGCATTACACCCGTTTCTAGACTAGAATCTGGGTTTTTATTATGATGGGTCTATTTTCTAATTTCCCTATCAAAAGACAAATCAAAATGTCAGTTCACAATCTGCTTTCTAATTAAAAGTTGAGCTATTTTTTTAAAAAAAAATCACATTTAACTAAACAATTCCACATGGCAATCCCACTGTGCTCTGCCACCTTGACTGATAGATAGAACAACTTGCCTTATTTAAATATCATTATCATTAGATACAGCTAGAGTAAGCTGATTGAATTCTTGTTTAGTATCATCCAGTTTACTCATAGAGTAAGATAATGCAGCATTTAAATAAAATACATTTCCTGCATTCAAGAAAACCCTCACAGAAAAAAGCAAAAAACTACTTTCAGTACTGACTGGAAGGTCCCCAGGAGGAATATGCCTTCTTATGCAAGAAAGTTAACTGGTTGGAGTGTGGGAAACACCGGGGTTATACTGCATTTCTCAACAGAAAGTCAAGACTCTATTCTGAAAGGAACACTAAGGTGGGTAAAGGACAGAACTTCCAGGTTTTGTGGCACCAGCAGTTTGCCACAGTTTCCAGAGGGAAAAATCAAGATATCACATGGGAGGTAAAAAGTGAATTCAGTTCACATTGGCTCATGACTTTATACAAGACACTGAGCTTCTGAGTTTGTTTCCTGACTCTGAAAATGAGAAGTGACCAAACACTGGTAGAAGAAGAAAATCTGTTGACATGTGTAGAAACACAAAAGGGAAACCATTTTACAAATGTAAAAGACAAATGCAATTACCTTGGGGCAGGAAGGGTTGGGACAAGTCTTCCAAGAGAATGGTAACCAAGAAAACCAATGAAGTACAAAAGGATCTTCTTTGGGATATTTAACAGGTGCATGAACAGTTTGAGAAATGCAATCTGCTAACTAGTTCATTTAACTCAAAAAAGGTTTTGGTTCAGAAAGATGGGTAAAAATGCAACTGTTCATTGACTAAAGTAGCACAGAGGTTCATATGGATGTAAAAGGCAAGCCAGGCAGCAGAGAAGAGCAGCCATAACCACAGCAAGACCAGAACCCCACCACAAGACCCCTTCTCATGCAACCCCCATTTGACATCAGCTAAAGGACACAGAGGTAAGCTGGGGAGGCACCTGAAAAGGTCTTTGAGGATAAATAGGAAAATGGCCAGAGAGAAGTAAAATATTACATACACAAAAGGGCACGTTTCAGGAATGACAAAGACAGTTATATCTCCCCAAAGATGAATTTCCCTTATAAGAGAATTTTTACCTTGTCTTCAAATTCAAGAATCACTGTTTCAATAATTTCAGCAAAATGATTTCCAGTAAAGGTATCTTGAATTATTCCTGTTGAGAAATTAAAAGAAGAGGTATAACAGGTACATGGGTAGGGAATACCCCTCCATAGACCCCTTCTTTGGAACCCCTATCAATACACGGCTCCCCTCCTCAAGAAACTGGCAGGGGATGAACTCTACCACCACTGTCAGCCACCCTGTCCCCATCAGACAGAATGAAAATCATGCAGCCCCTAAATTAGAGGGGTTTTCCTGCTCCAGTTCCCAGCAGGAATGGTCAAGCATTCCTGAGCAAACCATCCCCTAACTTAAGCTGGCAAGAGAGCATTTCTATTTCCTACTACCAACAAACACCAATTTTAAAATGAGAGATCCAGAGTTAGGTCTCAAAAATGAAACGAAAGTGAAGGAGATTCAAGATGGTGAGCTAGAGGGAAGTTGCATTCCTTGGCTCCATGACCTAGGATTCAAGCAGTGGGAATACTTTTGCTCTGTGAGTTATTAGAGAATCCTGGACAGCTGTACCCATCAGGACGCCCAGCCAGCGCACCCATGCAGACCCCCATCTACCAACATGGCATTCTCCCAGTCGCCTCCATCTTGGGACACTGCAACCATTGCCACAGTCCCCTCCACATGGTAGCCTGCAACTGGGGACACTGGACAGGATGTAAAAGCCCAGCCAGGCAGCAGAGAAGAGACAGTCGCCCGCTGTAGCACTATACACCACAGAGCTGCATCTCCGAACATGCAGCCCACTGCCACTGCCCAGCCATCTCTAAAAGCGGTCACCTCCATCTTGGGACACCTTCATCAGCATCTTGGGTTATGCTCACTACCACCATCTCCATATTTAGTCGGGGCAACTCCCATCTTGAGATACTGGCTGGGACCTAAAAGCAATATTAAGGTACCAATAGTCCTCCAACCACCCTGCGCCCCCCCACCCCCCGCCCGCACATAGCCACTATCCTGCACAGTCCTTGCAGCTACGTGTCCTTTGCAGCCGGTAGCTTGCAAAGCCTGGTATTAATCTGCCCAATACAAAACAGCTCTCTGCAATAGTCACACAGGCCCCAGACCGCAGTCCAACAGGACCTCAGAGAGAGAGGTTCCTGATTGGGAAATAGAAAGGGAGGAGGTGAGTGTGATACAATTTGAAGACTAAATTAGAGACCAGGAATCGTGGGGTCTACAGGGGATATAAAGGGATAAGACCAGGTATCCACATCACACAAATGGGCTCCAAAGGAGATCCTTGGGTGCAGTCTTCCAATTAGGAACCGGAGATGCTATATCCCACCTCCAGGAGCTCCACCCCCAAGACCAACCCTCCCATCCTAATAACCTTCACCATCCTGAGGGTGGAGATACCAGCAAACAACAGACAGCCCCACTACCAGGTGAGAAGGAAAGCAAAGAAGATACTGAACTTCAACAGAAACAATCCTTTAATTTTCCTTAGAGATTTGTTTTTCTCTTTCTCTCTCTCTCTCTCTCTTTCTTTTCATTTCTCTCTCTCTCTTTTCCTGCCCTCACATCCCGAACATTTGTGAAAGCAAGTACTTTTCATGCATTAGGCTACTGAAGACTGGGATGTGTGAACAGTATATTGCAATTGTGTTGTATAGTCTTCAATCTTTTATTTTCTTTTTCTTGATTTTTTTTTTGTTTTTTTTGTACTATTTTCTTCCCACTTACTTGTCCCCATAGTCTCTTTCTCTTTTCTCCTGCTACCAGCCAACTTCTTTTGATTCCTCTTTCACACTTCCTAAGATCTAAACCTCTAATCCTCACCTCCTAAATCCTTACCATCTCATCCAATACCCCCAAATTCACTCTTTATCCACCATTAGAAACTGTAGACCCTTTTGCAAACCTACTGTTTACATTGTATATAATTACTGAAATCACCATTTCTGTCTATTGCAACAAAACTGTAACATCTTAATAGGAGCTATTTGGTTTAAGGCTTTGTTTGCATTGGGATCTGTTAATATTGATCTTCCCCTTAAAGAAGAGGTATTAGAATCCTTCAGGGACACTATAAGTGTACAGGGTAAAAAGTGCAATACCTCAGATCCATACCACTAGAGGGGAAGACATGAACAAAATGAAAAAACAAGGGAAGAAAGTCTAAACAAAACAAGATACTACATTATTAAAATCCATGGCCAGCACAGAAGAAATGTCAGAGGAGTTCAGGAGGTATGTAATTAAAATATTCTGCAAATTAAAGGATGATATAAGAGAGCAAACACAGGCAATAAAAGATCATTTCGATAAAGAGCTACATAAGCAAATACAGGAAGCAGAAGCTTACTTCAATAAGGAGATAGAAAATCTTAAAAAAAAAATCCATGAAATGAAGGAAACAATAAACCAAATTAAAAACTCAATAGATAGCATCGCCAACAGATTAAATGACTTGGAAGACAGAACCTCAGACAATGAAGACAAATTATATAAATCTTAAAAATAAAGTTGACCACAAAGTGAAGATGGTAAGAAAACATGAGTAAGTAGAACATCTAAGAATTATGGGATAATATGAAAAGACCAAATTTAAGAATTATAAAGATAGAAAAAGACATAGAGATATAAACCAAAGGAATGAACAAGAAATTCAATGAAATAATATCAGAAAAATTTTCCAAACCTGAAGAATGAATTGGAAAATCAAATACAAGAGGCTTGCAGGACAACAAATATACAAGATCACAACAGATCCACACCAAGCCATATTTTAATAAAAATGCCTAGCATACAGAATATGGAGAGAATTTTAAAAGCCACAAGAGAAAGAAATCAGATTACATATTGGGGGAAACCAATTAGGATCTCTGCAGATTTCTCAACACAGACCCTCAAAGCTAGGAAGTCCTAGAACAATATATACCAAGCTCTGACAGAAAACAGTTGCCAACCAAGAATCTTATATACAGCAAAATTAAGCTTCAGATTCGATGATGAAATAAAAACCTTACATGATAAACAAAAGTTAAAAGGAAGCTGCACCACAGAACATCTTTGGCAAAATATTCCATGAAGAGAGAATGATAATCAGCAAAGGGAAGCACTACACTAAAGGAAAAGCCAATCAAAGGAGAAACCAAGTCAAGTTAAATAACAAAAATAAACCAAAATGACTGGGAATATAAACCATGTCTCAATAATAACCCTGAATGTTAATGGCTTAAGCTCAATCAAAAGACATAGACTGGCAGGTTGGATTAAAACAACAACAACAATATGCTGCTTTCAAGAGACTTGTCTCAAAGGAAAAGACATCCACAGACTGAAGGTAAAAGATTGGGAAAAAAACATACCACTCACATGGACTGTGTAAACAAGCAGGGGTTTCTATCCTCATAAAGGATAGTAGACTTCAAGCCAAAGTTAGTCAAAAGGGATAAAGAAGGACATTTCATACTGCTTAAGGAAACCATACATCAACAAGACATAACAATCCAGACACATATAAAATATTTTATCCATCAATGAGTGAATACATTTTCTACTCAGCAGCACATGGATCCTTCTCTAAAACAGACCATATATTATGCCACAAAACAACTCTTAGCAAATATAAAAAAAAAATAAGAGTTAGTACCCTACATTCTATCAGATCACAATGGAATAAAATTAGAAATCAACAATAAAATAAAAATTAGAAGCTACTCCAACACATGGAGACTAAATAATATGCTATTGAATAAACAATGGATAGCAGAAGACATCAGAGAGGAGATTAAAAAATTCTTAGAGGTAAATGAAAACACTGATACCACATAGCAAAATCTCTGGGACACTATGAAGGCAGTACTAAGAAGAAAGTTCACTGCATGAACTTTCTTTTAAGTTCATTCCTTAAAAGAAGAAAAAGTCAACAAATAAATGACCTAACATTACATCTCAAAGTCCTAGAAAAAGAAGAATAAATCAACATCAAAAGTAGAAGAAGACTGGAAATAATAAAAATCAGAGCTGAAATCAATGAAAATAAAACAAAACAAGTGAAAAATTAGCAAAAAGTTGGTTCTTTGAAAAAATAAATAAAATTGATAAACCTTTAGACATGCTAATGAAGAGAGAGAGAAAAAAAACTTGGATTACTAAAATCTGTGATAAGAAAGGGAATATCATGATGGACACTACTGAAATACAGAAGATAATTAAAAACTATCTTAAAAATTGATACTGTAATAAAATAAAAAATATCAAAGACATCAACAAATTTCTAGAGTCATATGATCTACCCAAACTGAATCAGGATGATATATGCAAGTTAAACAGATCAATTTCAAGCAATGAAATATAAGGCGCCATCAAAAGCCTACCAACCAGGCTAGGGATATAGCTGATAAAATGTTTGCCACGCATGCACAAAGTCCTGGGTTCAATCCCCTCCCCCCCCCAAAAAAAGCCTACCAACCAAGAAAAGCCCAGGGTCAGAGGACCAGAGGAATTCACAGCTGAGTTCTACAAGACCTTCAAAGAAGAATACAAATACTTCTCAAATTATTCCATGAAACAGAAAAAGAGGAAACCCTTCCAAACTCATTCTGTGAAGCTAGTATCACCCTGATACCAAAACCAAACACAGACACATCAAGGAATCAAAATTTCAGACCAATATCTCTAATGAACATAAATGCAAAAATTCTCAATAAAACTCTGGAGAATCACATACAAACATATATTTTAAAAATAGTGCATGACAATCAAGTGGGGTTCATCCCAGGGATTCAAGGTTGGTTCAACATACAGAAATCAATAAATGTAATCCATCACATCAATACATTCAAAGATAAGAATTACATGATCATCTCAATAGATGCAGAAAAAGCATTCAACAAAACACAGCACCTCTTCAAGTTCAAAATACTAGAAAAAATTAGGGATAATAGGAAAATATCTCAACATTATAAAAGCTACCTATGCTAAGCCCCAGGCCAACATCATTCTAAATGGAGAAAAATTGAAAGCATTCCCTCTAAAAACTAGAACAAGACAGGGATAGCCTCTTTCACCACTTCTACTTAACAC